GCCTCATGCATGCAAGGCAAGCGCTCCACCACTGAGCCAGCTTCCCAGCCTGAAGCTCACACTTTGAAGCCAATCAGGATAGACAAATCCAAGAGACTCTTATTTCCAGTTCACCACCCAAAAGCAAGAAGTGGAACTATGGCTCACGTTGTAAAGTACCAGCCTTGAGCAAAAAAAAGCTAAACAAGAGTATGAAGCCCCGAGTTCAAGTCCCAGTAATAGCACAAAAAGGAAGAGGAGGGGGAGGAGGAAGAGGAGGTGAGGGAAGGAGGAAGAAAGGAAAGAAAGAGAAAGAAAAAGGAAGGAAGGAAGGAAGGAAGGAAGGAAGGAAGGAAAGGAAGGAAATAATACAGTGTAATAGTTGGCTAACTCTTGCTTTAGATGGTTAAAATCAGTTCTAGGGATGAAGTCTAGAAGAGAAATCTTCATTCTAGAGTTTTCCACACTTCAGAAATGCCCATGTGAGGTAGAGGCCCTGACAGAGCCAAAGCCCAAGATGAAGGGGGGGGAGCAGGGCTGGAACGTTGTTTCCTTGGGGCTCATGGTTTGGCTTGGACCTCATGAACTCCCAGGATCTTGGGGCTCGTCCCCTTGGAGGAATGGCCCAGGGGTCAACTCTGCTCTCTGTCTCTTGGGCTTCTAACCACAGTCCGGATAAATACACACACACACACACACACACACACACACACACACACACACACACGCACGCACGCAAGCATGCATGCACACAGGGAGAAGAGATTGAACCCACCTCTTTCTGTCTCTTGCAGCTCTCACGGTGAAGTTTCTGACCAAGAGGTTTATCAGCGAATATGACCCCAACTTGGGTAAGAAAAGTGTTTCCCTCTGACCTCTGCTCCCCTGGGACCCTCCTGGGTTCCCCCCCCCCTTGGGGCCTCTGGGTGGAAGCTGCAGGATCATTTGGTTTTAGAGAGACTGGTTCAAGTGGCACAAATGCCCGTGCCACAGCCCACCTTCAGAGAGCTGGGGAGTTGGCTCAGCTCAGAGAACACAGACCGGACTTGTTTGCCCTAAAATAGAAGGTATGAGGAGACTTCCAAAGAATGAAGATCAAAAAGCCAAAGGAAGCAAGATATTCACAGGCAAAGATATGTTGTTTGCAAGATGGTCACTTGGTGTTCTTTTCCAGAAAACAGACCTTTGAGAAACGTTCTCCAAGACGGCTGCTTTCTGAGCCAGACTTGCAATTCCCATGAGAAAAACAGAACAAAATAAAACAAAATGGGGGGGGGGGAGGAGAAGATGGTCAGTCATGGGGTTTGAACTCAGGGCCTGAGCCCTTTCCCTGAGTTCTTTTGCTCAAGGTTAGCACTCTTCCATTTTTGAGCCACAGAGCCACTTCTGGTTTTCTGGTGGTTAAGTGGAAATAAGAGTCTCACAAGCTTTCCCGCTTAGTCTGGTTTTGAATCATGATCCTCAGGTCTCAGCCTCCTAAATAGCTAGGATTACCAGCGTGTGTGAACCACTGGCACCTGGCTTCTTAGGTTATTTTATTAGCTTCAGCTGCACCATGGGGACAGTGTGGGTGTTTGGGTACCTGTCAGAAGTGGGTTTGAATCAAGACTCTGCCATTTATTTGCTGGCTGTGCAACTTGGAGACAGTCACTTAACCACTCTGAGCAACAGTTTTCTCATCTGTAAACATGATTATAAACCATCTATCTCAGAGAGCTGCTGTGAGAATTAAGGACATAACTTGACCCAGAAGAGACTCTGAATGCTTCTTCACTTTTACTTTCTCCTCAAGTGGCTTTCCATACACAGTGCCTGAGATCCCCTCAGACTTGATCAGATCTGTGTTTCTGAAATGGATTTATCTATGTATTTATGTCTTTATTTGTACTGGTCCTGGGACTTGAACTCAGAGCCTGAGCACTATCCCTAGACATTGCTGCTCTAACCGTTTGAGCCATCACTCTTCTCCCAGTTTTTTTTTCTTTTTCTTTTTAATTGGAGATAAAGAGTCTCCTAGACTTTCCTGCCAACTCAGCCTCAAAGTACGATCCTCAGATCTCAGCCATCTGAGTAGCTGGGATTACAAGCGTGAGCTGCCAGCAGTGGATCTTGATTGAGTAATTTCCAAATTCCAGCTGGTGCTTGGCAGTGGAACATGTGATCAGCCTGACTGGGGCAGGTCACAGCCGCTACACAGTAGTTAATCATGTGTCACCCCAGACCCTCTCTACCAGGACATTCTAAGGAACAGCACCATTGCTCAGAGGCCCTGTCCCACCTCCAAGAAGAGCAGCAGCCAGAAGATCCTGGGGAGAAATTTCTGGACTTTCAGTAGATGGGCTTCAGGCCGATGTTAGCACAACAGTTCTTTAGACTTTTCCAGCATCTCCCAAGAGCCTGACCATCTGGGGATCCCCTTGAGATGGAGATTCACCCCCCGTTCCAGCAAGTATACAGAGCTAGATGCTCTTATACCATGAGGTTGGATTTGGGGCTTTTAGGGTTCTCTTTCAAAAATCATTATCACACACACACACACACACACACACACACACACACACACACACACACACACGTTTAATTGGTGGAGAAATGGCAGCAGATCCGAAGATCTGCCTAAGATCCAGGAGTCCCTAAAGCAAAGGAAGAAGATGAAGTTCTGCTCTCTGGGCCTCACTTTTCCCCATCTAGATGGAGCGTATAGACGGAGCTGTGTGTGTGAGCTGGGCTTTGTCGTGGGCTGTGACTGTGAGAGCTGCTTGTGGGAGGGCTTTGCTGGTGCTGAGCCCAGGGAAAGGCTTCGAGAATGTCCTCCTCTCACAGAAAGGCTGCAACTGCTCACCACACTCAGCCCCTCTCCTCTTCATCCTCCTCTAGCAAGGACTCAGATGAGCTCCATCTCTGGAGCTTTCTCTCACTACAGACACTCTGCCCAGAAACGCGTTCCTTTTATTACTCTAGCACGGCACCTGTGGCTCACACCTGTAATCCTAGCTACTCAGGAGGCTGAGATCTGAGGATCAAGGTTTAAAGCCAGTCTGTGAGACTTTTTTTTAATCCGCAATGCACCACCAAAAAGCCAGAAGTGGCCAGGCACCGGTGGCTCACGCCTGTCATCCTAGCTACTCAGGAGGCTGAGATCTGAGAATCGTGGTTCAAAGCTAGCCCGGGCAGGAGAGATCATGAGACTCCTATCTCCAATAAACCACTAGAAAAGCGGAAGTGGCACTGTAGCTCAAGTGGTAGAGTGCTCGCCTTGAGCTGAAGAGCTGAGGGACAGCGCCCAGGCCCAGAGTTCAAGCCCCACGACTGACAAAAAAAAAAAAGCCAGAAGTGGAGATGTGGCTTCAGTGATAGAGTACCATCCTTGAGTGTAAAAGCTAAGGGACAACACCCAGGTCCTGAGTTCAAGCCCCAGTACCAGCATGTGTACACACACACACACACACAATTAGGAGGCTGAGGTCTGAGACTCCAGGTTCAAAGCCAGAACGGGGCAGGAAAGTCTGTGAAACTTTTTTTTGGGGGGGGGTCCAGTCGTGGGGCCTGAACTCTGGGCCTGGGCGCTGTCCCTCAGCACCTCAGCTCAAGGCTAGCGCTCTACCACTTGAGCCACAGCACCACTTCCCGCTTTTTCTGCTTATGTGGTGCTGAGGAATCGAACGCAGGGCCTCAGGCATGCAAGGCAAGCACTCTACCACTGAGCCACCTTCCCAGCTCCTCTGTGAAACTCTTATCTCCAATGAACCACCAGAAAACTGGAAGTGGCACTGTGGCTCAAAGAGGTAGAGAGCTAGCCTTGAGCAAAAGAGCTCGGGACAGCTCCCAGGTCCTGAGTTCGAGCTCCAAGACTGACCAAAAGAAAAAAAAAGGGGGCACAAGGAGATCTGACACCTTTTCCAGGATTCTCTGCCTATTTGGAAGGGTACTCCAGATGACTTTGGTTAGAAAATAAAGACAACTCTTGGGGCTGGGAAGGTGGCTCAGTGGTAGAGCGCTTGCCTTGCATGCCTGAGGCCCTGAGTTCGATTCCTCAGCACCACATAGGCAGAAAAAGCCGGAAGTGGCGCTGTGGCTCAAGTGGTAGAGTGCTAGCCTTGAGCTGAAGAGCTGAGGGATAGCGCCCAGGCCCAGAGTTCAGGCCCCATGACTGGCAAAAAAAAAAAAGAAAGAAAATAAAGACAAATCTCAACAAAATGTTGGCATCCAGAGACAGCTCTTTGGGTGGGTTCAAATATAGTTAAGCATTTTGGACATATTTTCCATTCAATTTTTTTTTGGTCTTTGCATAAGAGCAGCTATTTATCCAAGTCCTGCAAGCAGGCTGGCGACGCGGAGCTGTCTGTGATTCATGCTGGATGCGAGTGGACCTGGCGTGTGTCCAGGCCCGCATGCCTGCCAGCGGCCCCAGAGCAGTGTGTGCCTCTGCATTCATCAGGCCCGGGGTGCTGTTCTCACAGTGGTTGCTGCCAGGAGGCAGAGAGGACCCCAATTCTGCCTGGAGAGGTCTTGTTGGGGTTGAGGGGCACACTCAAGGGGGCCAGCAGGGGAAAGTGAGGAATGAGTACATTTTTGTTTTTGGTCGGTCCTGGGGCTTGAACTCTGGGCCTGGGCGCTGTCCCTCAGCTTTTCAGCTCAAGCCGAGCACTCTACTACTTGAGCCACAGTGCCTTTCCTGGCTTTTTCTGCTTATGTGGTGCTGAGGAATCAAACCCAGGCCCTCATGCATGCAAGGCAAGCACTCTACCACTGAGCCACCTTCCCAGTCCAGTCATCTTCCCTGCCCAAGTGCGTTCTTGTATGTGTGCAAATGTGGGGGGGGGGAACCCTGGGGGTGACATCTTCTTTGCATGTCTGACCACTGCTACTTGCTGATTTCTTAGGTTGGAGATTACAAGAATAGAAAAAGCTGATTGCCAGTGACTCACGCCAATAATCGTAGCTACTCAGGAAGCTGAGATCTGAGGATCTTGGTTCAAAGCCAGCCCGGGCAGGAACGTCCATGAGACTCTTATCTCCAATAAACCATCAGGAAACTGGAAGTGGCACTGTGGCTCCAGGGGTAGAGCGCTCGCCTTGAGCTGAAGAGCTAAGTGACAGCACTCAGGCTCAGAGTTCAAGTCCCATGACCAAAACCACAACAATTTACCAGGCACCAGTGACTCATGCCTATAATCCTGCCTACTCAGGAGGCTGAGATCTGAGGATCACGTTTTGAAGCCCGCTCAAGCAGGAAAGTCTGTGAGACTTTTATCTCCAACTAACCACCACAAAACAGAAGTGGAGGTGTGGCTCAAGAGGTAGAATGCTAACTTTGAGCACAAAAGCTCAGGGACAGTGCCCAAGCCCTGAGTTCAAGCCCCAGCACTGGCATGCACATGCACATACACACACACACACACACACAAACTGGAAGTGAGGTACGGCTGACGTGGTAGAGTGCCAGATGAGTGAAATGAGCTCCAATCATTCAAGCCCCAATACTCGCCTACCCAGAGAGGAAAGCTGGACACAGGCTGGGTTTGTGGCCTGCCACCCTCTGATCTAAAGGATCATCTGTGTTTCAGAGGATACTTACAGCTCTGAGGAGACTGTGGACCACCAGCTTGTCCACCTGAGGGTCATGGACACCGCAGACCTGGTAAATTACCCCCACCCCCTTACCCATGCACAAGGGCAGGGAGGGGGTGTGGGCCCTGAGAATCCGCACAGGGCCTCGGTTGGGAATTTATATTCCTTTGAAGCTCCAGTGTGCTGTGCAACCTTGAGTGAAGTCCTGCCGTTTCTGGGCCTGAGTCTTACATTGCCAAAATTCGAAAGCTGGTGACGATCCTTCCCTGGGACACGCTGATGATTCAGAGGCAGCTTGAGCCGAGCACCTGGGACTCACGCCTATCATCCTAGCTACTCAGGAGGCTGAGATCTGAGGATCGTGGCTTGAAGCCAGGCAGGGAAAATCCATGAAAGTCCTATCTCCAAGAAATCACCCAAAAAGCCAGAAGTGATACAATGGCTTAAGACCTCTAGCCTTGAGCACAAAAGCTCAAGGACAGTGGCCCAAGCCCTGAGTTCAAGCCCCAGAACTGGTACCTAAGTAAATAAATAAATAAAGGCAGCATGAAATTGACCCCAAACCAGGGGCCTAAGGTCTTCAAGGCTCTCTGGATGGCTGGAGGGAGGTCAGGAGACAATGTCTCCTTTCACACCAGGCCAAATCCACACTCAAGTGCCCCTTTGAAAAGGCCTATGGGGGGAGGGGGGACAATAAACAAAAGACTGTTATCACAGAGTGATGGGGGCGTCCAGGTGAGAGCCTGTACCCCATCTCCTTCCTCCCTCACCCCAGGACACCCCCAGGAACTGCGAACGCTACCTGAATTGGGCACACGCCTTCCTGGTGGTGTACAGCGTGGACAGCCGCCAGAGCTTCGAAGGCAGCAGCAGCTACCTGGAGCTGCTGGCCCTGCACGCCAAGGAGACTCAGCGTGGCTACCCTGCTCTGTTGCTAGGCAACAAGCTGGATATGGCTCAATATAGGTGAGTGCCCAGCTCCGCCCCCTCCCCTCCCCGGCCCCGCCCCTTGGTGCTCATCTCCAAGTTCATGCTCTCCATTGGCAGGATTACTTAGCTGTCAAGAGCAGTCATCACTTGGAATATAGGGAACAGGATTGTGTAGGAAAGGAACAGGGGGGTACTGAGAACAAGTATCTGGACCCTGTAGATGCTGGACCCCAGAAGTCAAAAGCCAAGCCAAGCTGTGTGCATGCAGGGTAGCTCACGCCTGGAATCCCAGCTACTCAGGAGCTTGAACTCTGCCAATCCTGTTTCTTAGCCTGAGCTGATAAATCAATGAGATTCATTGAGACTCATTTCCAGTTCACCTGCAAAAAGCCAGACATGGAAGCGTGGCTCAAGTGATAGCCCTGAGCAAACAATGCCAAGCAAGAGCAAAAGGCCCTGAGTTCAAGCCCCAGTGTGGACACACACACACACACACACACACACACACACACACACACACACACACACACACACGGGAGAAGCAGCAGCAAAGCCACTCCCTCTCTCCTGGGTCTCTGTGGTCTTTCGGCCTCATCCTTTCTTGCCTAAGACTACTTGATGACCTTCTGCGCACAATCCCAGTAGCCAGTCAGCTGGTTAGTCATTCAGATGCACTGAGAGGCTGTGATTGGCTCATTGGGTCATATGTCTTCTGTAGCCCAATCAGCTCTTGCCTTTCCCAAGCCAGGCCCTCGGGCTGGCTGCCACAGTTGGCTGCTTCAGGGCAGGCCCTTTCAGAAAGGCTTGGACTTGAACCAGAGGTCACAGACTGGGCCAGAGGCTAGATTGCTACACAACACTGCCTCTGTATTTGGCTTGGCTGATACTGCGCTTTTAAACAACCTGGAATTGGAATACTTTGAGGTGGGGCCTGCTTTTTCCAAATGACCCCGACCCCAACCCTCCACATTATCCTGGTAGGCCCCAGGGCCCCTGCTGTGGTTGCTGCCTGGACCTGATGAGTAACTTTCTGAGCTTTTGTTGGTGTGGCACTATCTGCTCTTGGCAGCTGGCTCCTGATTTCCCACGCCCCAAAGATCCAATGAACAGGTGTTAGGAAAGAGGGGTCCTTTGTTTAGAACAAGTCCGATGTGTAGTGGGGGAAGGGAATTATGGAGTTGGGAGGGGGGTGGGCACAATAAAGAGGCTGACACAGGAGTCTGAGACTCCCTTCTTGGCAAACAAGTCAATTCTTGGGGAGCAAGGCCCGTTGTTACATGTTAAAAGTGGACGCAAGGAGTGCTTAAGGAATTCAGAAGACTGGATTTGAGCTGAGCACCAGTAGCTCATTCCTTTCATCCTAGCTACTCAGACAGCCGAGATCTGAGGATCTCAGTTCAAAATCAGCCTGGCAGATAAATCCAAGGATTATCTTCAGTTAATCAACAAAAAGCTAAAGTGGAGGCTGGCTCAAGTGGTAGAGCACCAGCCTGGAGCAAAAGAAAGAAAGAAAGAAAGAAAGAAAGAGAGAAAAATAAAGAAACCAGCCAAGTATTAGCTGGCATCTTCCATGCTTGTCTTGTTACTAAAAGATTAAAATGTGTTTGCCAGACACTAGTGGCTCACTCCTGTAATCCTAACTACTCAGGAGGCTGAGATTTAAAGACAATGATTCAAAGCCAGCCTGGGCAAGAAAGTCTGTAAGAAAACCAGAAGTGGTACTGTGGCTCGAAGTGGTAGAGTAGCCTTGAACAAAAAACTCAGTGCCCAGGCCCTGAGTTCAAGCCCTACGACCACCAAAGACAAAAATATGGGCTAGAACTCCTATGCCACCAACAAAAATATTCCCTAGACAGCAACAGAATAATAATGACACGTGGCTGTCATCTTCTCACTGGTGTGTGTGTGTGTGTGTGTGTGTGTGTGTGTGTGTGTCTTTATCTGTCTCTGTCTTATGGTAGTAGACTTGAACCCAGGGCCGAGGTACTGTCCCTGAGCTTTTTTTTGCTCAAGGGTAGAGCTCTACCACTTGAGACATAGCTCCCCTTCTAGCTTTTTTTTTTAGTGGTTAATTGGAGATAAGAGTCTCACAGATTTTCCTGCCTTGGCTGGCTTTGAACCGGGATCCATAGATATCAGCCTCCTGAGTTGCTAGGATTATAGATGTGAGCCACCTACCCTCCACTGATGTCTCCTCTTCTGGACAGCTAACCTACCCAACAGGTCCTGACTTGAAGGTCAGAAGTTTCCAGAATCTTCCCCGTTGTAAGCACTTTATCCTGTCATTCCAGGAGATAGTATGGGACCAGACTGGAAAAGGTGCTTTTCCCTCTTTTCCCCCTGTACACCAGGAAAAGTGCTTTTCTTTTCTTTTTTTTCTTTTGGTGGGTCGTGGGGCCTGAGCTCTGGGCTTGGGCACTGTCCCTCAATGGTAGACTAGAGCTCTACCACTTGAGCCACAGCGCCACTTCTGGCATTTTCTGTTATGTGGTGCTGAGGAATCGAACCCAGGGGTTTATGCATGCAAGGCAAACACTCTACCACTGAGCCACCTTCCCAGCCCGGAAAAGTGCTTTTCTTCTGCTCTCTGCTGCCCTCTCCTGGACAGGCTGATAAAAACCCATGAGTCCTGAGAACTGCCAGCCACAGACTTCTTGCTTTTTATTTAGCACTGGTTTCACAAGCCAGGGCAGAGGGAGGCTGACTTCCTGACAGAAGAGAAGAGGAGAGAGCAGACTGCACCTGGCTTTCTTCCTCTGGTCATATGCAGGTCTGGCTTGGGGAACTTTATACCAACTTCTCTCTTACCTTTTCCTTCCATCCTGAATTGCGACTTTGGTGATATCAGACACCATTTGTGTGTGTGTGGGGGGGGGTGGGTGCTCTACCTCTTGAGCCACAGCAACACTTCTGGCTTTTTTTGGTATTTCTTTAGAGATGAGAGTCTCACAGCCTTTCTTTCCTGGGCTGGCTTCTAACTATGATCCTCAGATCTCAGCCTCCTGTGTAGCTAGGATTACAGGTGTGACCCACAGGTGCCTCACCAGCCACCATTTTTTAAACTGAGCCCCAGGCTCTGCGGGCTAGGAACCGAACACAAATCATCTTTCCCAGTTTGGGTTTTATTTTGTTTTGTTTTTGGTCTGAACACTGTCCCTCAGCTCTCCAGCTTAAGACTAGTGCTCTACCACTTGAGCCACAGCGCCACTTCCAGTTTTCTGGTGATTTATTGGAGAGAAGAGTCTCACAGACTTTCCTGCCCTGGCTGGCTTTGAACCATGATCCTCAGATCTCAGCCTCCTGAGTAGCTAGGATTACAGGCATGAACAACTGGACCTGGCTCATCTTTCCAGCTTTTAACACGCCTGAGTGGCTTAGGTCAACACCCCAAGATACAGAGGGGGAAACTTAAGACTCAGGGCCCCCCAGGCAGAAGGTGGGGAGCTGGATACAAGCCTGGTTCTGCCGGCCTAGGAGAACTTCCCTGATGACTCACCACCTCGCCCTGCCTTCCTCCAGGCAGGTCACCAAGGCCGAGGGTGCAGCGTTGGCTGGCAGGTTCGGATGCCTGTTTTTCGAGGTCTCTGCTTGTCTGGACTTTGAACACGTGCAGCACGTCTTCCATGAAGCGGTGAGGGAAGCCCGGAGGGAACTAGAGAAGAGTCCTCTGGCCCGGCCCCTCTTCATCTCCGAAGACAAAGCCCTGACCCACCAGATCCCATTCACTGCCCGCCATGGGCTAGCCAGCTGTACCTTTAACACTCTCTCCACTGCCAACCTGAAGGAGATGCCCACTGTGGCCCAGGCCAAGCTGGTCACTGTGAAGTCATCCCGTGCCCAGAGCAAACGCAAGGCGCCCACCCTGACCCTACTAAAGGGCTTTAAGATCTTCTGAGGGCCTCCCCCACTGCCCCCCATGCTGTTATAAGAATCCGGGGTTCAGCCACGGGGCTATGGACCCCCTCTGATGGATCAACAGCCTTTCACCTCTGGTGGACAGCTGACTTTTAAGTGCAGCACCAAGCATTGGTTGTCCATTCAATTCACTGTACAAGCCACAGGCCTTGGTCTCTGTGGTAACTGCTACATCCAAGACCCTGGAGGAAAATACCCACTGCTACATAGCCCAGAGATCAGGGGTCATCCTTATGTAGGAAGAATCTGCTGCCTTGGCCCCTGTCTGCTTCGTCTACAGCAGTAGCCCCTAGTGTCCATCTCTTGATGGACAGTTCTGACACCTGAGCTGAGAACAGCTTGTTAGGACCAATGGTTCTGGAGCCACAGCGCCACCTGGTGGACAGTACACGCATGGTGGTTGATCCAGAGACAGGAGCCTGGATCCTGTCTGAGGGAGCAAACCCTACTGTTTATCCAAGGAAAATGTCTAATAATCCTACAGGAAAAATCTAGATGGGGAAAAGAGGTCCCAGGCAGGGATTTTTTTCCTAGTACTTTGCCTCTCAATGAGGGGACAAGAGAGGGAGGGAGGGGGTTGTGGATTGCCTAATTTAGGGAAGCATTTTGTTAAGGACTTTGTCCATGGATGCCCCCAGGACCCACTTCTTCAAGTTTAATGACCAAGGCTGCAGAATGAAGCCATTCTGTGCAGTGACAATTGCAGCAGGCCCACAGCTGGCAGAATCACGCACCCTCTGGTAGGCACTGATGACCTGCCCTACGGTGGTTAGGTCTGCTTTGGCCGGACCCAGATCCTCAGTAATGAGTCTGGGTGTTCAAAGCCCACTTTTTATTTTTTATTTGGTTTTTATTTTTTGCACCGGTACTGGGGCTTGAACTCAGAGTATTGCACTCTAGCTTGGCTTCTTTTGCTCAAGGCTAGTGCTCTACCACTTGAGCCACTTCCCAATATATTTTTGTATGTGTGCCAGTCCTGGGGCTTAAACTCAGGGTCTGGGTGCTGTCCTTGAGCTTTTTTTTTTTTTTTTTTTGCTCAGGGTAGGTACTCTACCACTTGAGCCACAGCTCCACTTCTGACTTTTTGGTGGTTAAGTGAAGATAAAAGAAGTCTCACAGACTTTCCTGCCTGGGCTGGCTTCAAACCACAATCCTTAGAGCTCAGCCTCTTGAGTAGCTAGGATTACAGGCATGAGCTACCAGTGCCCAGCTTCAAACCTACTTTTGTAAGACAGAATCTAAAGCATCAGAGGGTAATAAAGCATTTTGGTATAAGTTAGTTAGCATTTCTTATCCCACACTGTGAGAGCCCCAAAATCCAAACTATGAGACCCTGAAAGGATTGAGAGTTTGAATTTCCTTCGCCCAATATACTCTTAGAACACTGCGAGGTTTCCTGAAAGATCCTGGCTTAACGGCAACTCAGATTCCACCCTAAAACTGTGGGAGCCTAAGGGTATTCTTAGGTTTATGCAAATTGTAGGCTGTTATCTATTTGCTCTTCTTCCTAGAATAAGAAGGTCACCTACCATCTCTATACAAAATATTGTCACCTGTTGAAGTTTGTGTCTTGCTTCTTTGCACAAGACCAATAAAAAAAAACCTTGGTTAATGGAATCTTGGGGTCTGTGGCTGGCGGAAGGCTACAGGTCCTCTGGTACCCCAAATCTCAGTTCCACAGTCCAGTCTCCGATATTGCATTGCTCGCGATTGCAGGACATTAAGGAGCACGCGGCCGGTTGCAACACCACACCATAGCTGAGATTGGGATCAGGATACTTTCTTGGGGTCTCACTGTTAGCAAGAGAGGCTGTCAGAGGCAGGGATGCAATCATTTTCTGTTTACTACAAACCCTCAACAGATTACAGAGAAGGACTCTGGTGGGCCAAAGAACCAGAAAGGGGATTCTATTCCTGGATTCTGCCCCTTCTCTTCCCATCTCCAGTCCCAGGAGCTTGGACTGAAAACACCTCTAACCCAGTGCTTAGCTCCTCCTCAGTTGGAGCAGCCGGGGTCTGAAGGAGGCTATGAATTTCCCAAAAACCCATGCTACCAGGCACCAGTGGCTCATTCCTGTAATCCTAGCTACCAAGGAAGCTGAGATCTGAGGATCGAGGTTCAAGGCCCATCCAGGAAAGGAAGTCCATAAGACATTTCTCCAATTAACCAGCAAAAAGCTGCGAGTGGGGTTGTAAGTAGCAGAGCATTAGCTTTGAGGGGAAAAAAAGCTCAGGGACAGTACCTAGGTCCTGAATTCAAGCCCTAGTACCTACCTACCTACCTACCTACACACACACACACACACACACACACACACACACACACACTCACACATACAATGCTGAGAGGACCTGGCAAATGCCACAGGCCGGCTATGGGTGTGTGTGTGTGTGTGTGTGTGTGCGCGCCAAACCCTTTGAACAAACTATCCAATTCCAGCGGCTGTGTGTGTGTGTGTGTATACCAAACCCTTTGAACAAACTATCCAATTCCAGCCACTCACTTCCAGAAGCATTTTAATAAAAGCACTTAAAAAATAATAACACAACTGTCATTCGATTGCATTCGATTGCAGCCAATGAAAGCTCCAGGCAGCTAGGGGTGACCATCACCCCTGAGGGCCTTTAGCTGAGCTCAGGCCTTGGTCACGCGTGCAGCCGGTGCGCTGCGCATGCGCCGAGCACTCCCTAGCTTTCACTTTCTGTTGCATCTGGAAGGAACGCCTGACAGACATCAGTCTTTTCTGCTTCGAACGTTCCCACCTGGACCAAGTTTGGGTTTCCTGAGATCAAGGTCTCTCTGAGGTCTTTGAGGCTGCTGCTTGGTTTGGCTCCAGAATCTTCCAACTGTAGGCCTTCCGGTGTTTCTTTTTCTTGGGGCTGCAGCTTGCTTTGTCTGCAAGGGAGGAAGTGGGGTTGGGAGGAACTGTATCACTGGGCCAACCCCAGTGGTGGAGAGAGTTGGGGGTGTGGTGGGGGAGCACTCATGTGGAGTCTGGGAGTTGTTAAAGCCCCTACAGAGCCAGACACTGCTGGCGACTCACACCTGTCATCCTAGCGATTCAGGAGGCTGAGATCTGAGGATTAAGGTTCGAAGCCAGCCCCGGCAGGAAAGTCCAGGAGGCTCTTATTTCCAATTAACCACCAGGAAAGCAGAAGTGGCACTGTGGAGCTATGCCAGCCTTGAGTGCAAAAGCTCAGGGACAGGGCCTAGGCCCTGAGTTCAAGCACCAGCACAAATGACAAACAACAACACTAAAAAATAAGACCTGAATTTGCAGAGAACCTGTGTGCACAGGACAATGTCTGTTGTTTCCACAGAGAGATACCTGCTCTCTAGGAGGACTATGCAGGATACCAAGGTGGGGCTTCTTTTTTTTTTTTTGTCGGTCGTGGGGCTTGAACTCTGGGCCTGGGCGCTGGCCCTCAGCTCTTCAGCTCAAGGCGAGCGCTCTACCACTTGAGCCACAGCACCACTTCCAGTTTTCTAGTGGTTTATTGGAGATAAGAGTCTCACGGTCTCTCCTGCCCGGGCTGGCTTTGAACCGCGATCCTCAGATCTCAGCCTCCTCAGTAGCTAGGATTACAGGCGTGAGCCACCAGCGCTCAGCAAGGTGGGGCTTCTTAACAAGGGAGGAGCAAGGTGCTCCCCCATTTATTTTTAAACAGTACTGGGGGTTGAACTCAGGGTCTCATGCTTGCTAGAAAGGTGCTCTACCACCTGAGCCATGCCTCCATCTCCTTTTGTGTTTTGCTTTAGTTCTATTTCAGATAAGATCTTGAATTTTTGCCCAAGGCTACCCTGGACCACAACAATCCTTTTACCCACTGGCTCCTGTGTAGCTGGAATCACAGGTTAATGCCACAGATCCCAGCTTCTTTGTTGAGATTAAGTCTTGACAACTGTTTTTTGCCCTAGCTGATCTCAAACCTCAGTCCCTACAATCTCTACCTCCTGAGTAACTGAGCTGGGATTATATGCATGAGCCACACCCCACGCCCTGCCTAGACCATCTTCTTGTTTGTGCGTGTGCTGGTCCTGAGCTTTTCACTCAGAATCAGGGTGCTGTCCTTGAGGGTTTTTTTTGCTCAAGGTTAGCACTCTATCACTTGAGCCACAGTTCCACTCACAACTTTTGGATGGGTAACTGGAAATAAGAATGTCACAGCCTTTCCCAACGAGGCTGGCTTCCAACTGCAATCCTCAGATCTCAGCCTCCTTAATATCTGAGATGACAGATGTGAGTCACTATTACCCAGTAAGGCCATATGCTTAATAGCTACATTGTCATTCCTGTGTCATTCTGGCTTGTTGGCCAGGTCAGAGGGCAATAATCTGGGGGCAGTTGCTGTTTGTTTGTTTTCACAGCTTTGGCTTTCTAAGATTTTTTTTTTCCCCAGTTCTGGGACATGATCTGTCAGGGAATGCTGTTCTAAAAGCTTCTTTTTGCTCCAGGCTAGTGCTCTACCTCTCTAACACTTAAACCAGAGCTCAACTTTTTGTTGTTTTTTTTTTTGTTAGTTGTGGGGCTTGAACTCTGGGCCTGGGTGCTGTACCTGAACTCTTCAGCTCAAGGCGAGTGCTCTACCACTTGAACCACAGCGCCACTTCAGACTTGTAAGACTTCAACTTGCTGTTCCGAAATGTAGACAGTCAAAGGCCCTAAATGAGCTCATCCCAGATTTCCTTCTGGAGATTCCCTTCCCTTCAGAGACCCACCCAGCCCAGCTTCTTACCTGTTGGCCCGGATGTTCCTTGCCAGGAGGTACATGCTAATCACTACCACCAAGGCTGCCAAGACAAGCATGGAATAGTTCCAAGGAGATGCTGAAGAGGAACAAGAGACAGGCCCATGAGGAGAGGCCAGGAACCTCACTGTTAGGGCCTGGCTTGGATCCTAGCTCATAGATCTAACTATCCCTGGCCAGTGAGCCCCTTAGCAAGGCAAAACTGAGCCCCTTGTGATGGGGGAACTTCCAGTCTAACCAGCAGGAGGTATGACACACACCTGTCACAGAGAACACTGCACTGTCTTTGAATGTAAGTGTAGGAAAAATCCAGGAACCAGTGGCTCATGCCTGCAGTCCTGGCTACTCAGGAGGCTGAGGTTTCAGGATTGAAGTTTGAAGCTAGCCTGGATAGAAAGGTCTGCCAGACTGCAGTTCCAATTAACCAGCAAAATGCTTCACTGGAGCTCAAGTAGGTAGTGAGTCAGCTCTGAGAAAAATAAAAATAAGATCCAAATTGAGGGGCTGGGAAGGTGGCTCAGTGGGAGAGTGCTTGGCCTTGCATGCCTGAGGCCCTGGGTTTGATTCCTCAGCACCACATAAGCAGAAAAAACCAGAAGTGGCGCTGTGGCTCAAGTGATAGAGCACTAGCCTTGAGCTGAAGAGCTGAGGGACAGCGCCCAGGCCCAGAGTTCAGGCCCCATGACCAACAACAACAAAGATCCAAGTCGAATTCACAAGGGCAGAGATTTGTGTTTTTACTTCTCTGCAGGCAGTGCTGAGAACAGACCCTGGCATTCAGCTGGAGTTGAATAAATAGTCACGATGATTGGATGGCTGCATAAACGAGGGCCACAGCCTGAGAAAATGAGGGAAGGGTTCAGCCCAGCCCCTGCGAGTAGTTATATGCGCAGTCTGAGTCTGTCTGTCTTCCTTACAATGTCCTATATAATAGAAGAGACCATGCTAAGATGTCATTCACGTTGTCCTTTGTGTCCAGCATCTATCGCGAGATCCCGTTCCCTCCCCCCCCCCCCACCAATCCCCAACCACTTACCATCTTCTACACGGAAAAACCAAACCATTTCTTCCAGTAGATCCTGGGGCACCGCAGTGCTAGCTGGGGCTACCACGGCCTCCTCTCTGGGCTCCATGTCCCTGATCCTGCTTGGGGTATGTTGTTGGCACCAAGGCTTTGGTCCCTTCACCCCAGCTGCCGGCCTCCCCTGCTAGGTCCCAGCCACAGAGCAGACAAGCCTGGAAGAGCCCTGCAAGCAAAGGGAAGGGAACATGATCTGATACAGCGCTTCAATTTCAGCTCCCCTCTGCTCCCACCAAACCCATGTATTTTCTAGTCCAAGGTTTTAAGGCCTGGAGAGACATGGGAATAACTCGTGTGTGTGTGTGTGTGTGTGTGTGTGTGTGTGTGTGCCAGTCAGTTCTAGGGCTTGAACTCAGGGTCTGGGCATTGTCCCTGTTTTCTCAAGGCTGGCACTCTACCATTTGAGCTACTTTTCTGGCTTTCTGACACTTAATTAAAGGTAAGATTCTCATGGACTTTCCTGCCTGCACTGGTTTCCAATCTTTTTTTTTTTTGTCGGTCGTGGGGCTTGAACTCTGGGCCTGGGCGCTGTCCCTCAGCTCTTCAGCTCAAGGCGAGCGCTCTACCACTTGAGCTACAGCACCACTTCCGGTTTTCTGGTGGTTTATTGGAGATAGGAGTCTCACAGTCTCTCCTACCTGGGCTGGCTTTGAACTGCGATCCTCAGATCTCAGCCTCCTGAGTAGCTAGGATGATAAGCATGAACTGTTGCACCCAGCTTGTGGTTTAAAGCTCTGATGTTGATTAAAAGTCATCACAGGGGTAAGGGGGGGCATGTGCCGAGAACTGAGTCAGTGACAGGCTGTGGGATCCTTGCAAAGGACATTTCTGCTCCTAGGCTGTCCAGCAACCCCAGCCCACCTCTACAAGCCTGATTTCTAGCAAATTATCCTACCCAATGCCTTGGCCAATCACAGGCAACTACCTCCTCCCATGTGACAAGGCTGGGCCTATCACAGTCTTCCTCCTGATATATACTCAAAGATGGGTAGAAGAAAGAGACCGGCTTGCTGCAGAGAGCTCTTTCCTATGTTCTCGGGTGAACAGCCCTAGTACCTACATGTACTTTCTCTCTCTCTCTCTCTCTCTCTCTCTCTCTCTCTCTCTCACACACACACACACAAAAAAAACAAGGATTGGCGCTGGTGGCTCATGCCTGTAATCCTAGCTACTCAGGAGAATGAGATCTGAGGATCACAGTTCAAAGCCAGCCAGGCAGAAAAGTCCTTGAGACTCTTATCTCCAATTAATCACCAGAAAATGGAAAGTGGCGCTGTGGCTCAAGTGGTAGAGCGCTAGCCTTGAGCTGAAGAGCTGAGGGACAGCGCCCATGCCCTGAGTTCAAGCCCCATAACCAAAACCAACCAAACAACAACAATAAAAGTAAGGGAGGGAGAAAGGGGGCAGGAACAAACAAAGACAAATTCTTGTGACAAACATATATCTTGTGTGTGTGTGTGTGTGTGTGGTCCTGGGGCTTGAACTCAGTCCTGGGCACTGTGCCTGAGCTTTTATGGTCAAGGCTAGCATGCTACCACTTCTGAGCATTTTCTCTCAAATCTAGCGCTCTACCACTTTGAGCCACAGCCCCACTTCCGGTTTTCTGGTCCTTAACTGGAGATCTGAGTCTCATGGACTTTCTTGCCTCTGCTGCCTTCAAACCATGATCCTCAGATCTCAGTCTCCTGAGTAGCTAGAATTATAGGCGTGAGCCACCAGCGCCCAGGGACATCTTACATTTTAAACAGGTCATAATGAAAACCATTGGGAGAGGTATTCCTGAGACAGGCTGGGAACACTCACCTTGATCCTGGGCTCGTGGGTGTGCTCCGTGGGTCGATGGTCACCGGAGCCCGGGAGTCTGCCCCTGTCTTCTCCCTGGAAGGTGCAGCTGTCACCTGGGGCTGCTTGTAGAAGCTGTGGCTGCCGATCCATCTAGAAGCTTTACCTTCATCCACGCCCAGGCTTGTGCTGCCCCTGTGGGTGACTGACCTCTTGACTGAGTGACCTCAAATGCTACATGGGTGGAAACACTGGGGGGGGGGGATATAGGGTGCTTCATGTTCATGGGGTTAAGGGTAGCTCCAGGATGTGATTCTTTCAGGGTGATCAATGTTTAACCACAAGGCTGGAGCCAAGGTTGGCCTTTTATTGTCAGTGCATTCTCATCTGGAAGGTCATGGCGGTATCATGTGAATGACTTGAAAGAACTATAAAATCTGATCTGCAGAGGGGGGGGGAGACGTGGGGTGGGAGGGGGGAGGGAGCCCAGGTGGAATCCCCAGGAAGGAACTGGAACTGAGGTACTCCCTCACCAGGCTGGCCCCACCCAATTCTGATAGTCTCTCAGGTCCCAGACTGGCTGGCTGATTAACTGGCTTCCTTCTTTCTTTTTTCTTCCTTCCTTCCCTCCCTCCTTCTTCATTCCTCTTTCCCTCCTTCCCTCTCTCCCTCCCTTCCTTCCTTTTTCACTTTGGGTGCTAGTGGGATTTGAACTCAGGGCCTCACGCTGGCAAGGCAGGTACTGTACCACTTGCTGTGTCCTCAAGTTGCTTTGGCTTGAGGTTATTCTTTAGATAGAACCTCACATTGTTGTCCTAGACTGTTCTGTACCACGATCCGCCCACCTAGCCTTCCCTCATAACTGGGATGATAGGTATGAGCCACCACACCCAACTGCTTTTGTTGAGATAGTCTCACTAACTTAGGTATGGGGGTGGGGGGCGTGTCGTTGTTGTGTTGGTTTTTTCTGCTCCTCAGGAAGTTGTCCCAACTGGTCTCTCCTAATAGAGGAGCCATTTGATCCCCCACTGAGAGAAAAGCTGGTCCTTGGCAGGTTGTTGAAAAGGCATTGATGGGTAGAGGCCATGGCAAAAACTCTCCAAGCATCTCAGGGTAGGTCAGCCAGAATGCAGCCTGGCCTGTGGAAGGGAGGGTATCTTCCAACCGATGGCTTGCCTAGAGATGAGGTCTGGCAGCCTAGATAAGGAATTCCCCTGCCCAACCAACTAAGAGCTGAAGGGAGGGTATATGGCCCCCAGTGTGTCTTCTTCAGGCATCCCTGGTACTTAATTGGAGATAAGACTTTCCCTGCCTGGGCTGGCTTTGAACCATAATCCTCAGATCTCAGCCTCCTGAGTAGCTAGGATTACAGGTGTGAACCACTGGCCCCCAGTATGCTTAGTTTTTTCCCTCAAGGCTGGCATTGTATTACTTGAACCACAGCTCTACTTCTGGCTTTTTGGTGAATAACTGTAGATAAGAGTCTCAGGGACTTTCCTGTCCAGAATGGCTTTAAACTGAGATCCTCAGAGCTCAGCCTCCTGAGTAGCTAGGATTACAGGTGTAAGTCACTGGCGCCCAGTGGAAGAATTCATTTTTGTGTGAAACCTAGAGGAAGAACGGGGTTATGGTTCAAGCGGTATAACACTTGCTTAGCAAAGCTCAAGTTCCTGAGTGGAAACCCCAGCACCCCCGTAAAGCAAAACAAAGTCCAAATTGGGGGAAAACCAAGTAGTGGAACTTAAGGAAAATTTTCGAAAAGGTAGAATTAAACCTAAAATAGTTGAGGATTCAATCCTTATCTGATTCCCTTTTTTTTTGGGTCCGGTCATGGGGCCTGAACTCTGGGGCTGGGCGCTGTCCCTCAGCTCTTCAGCTCAAGGCTAGCACTCTATCACTTGAGCCACAACGCCACTTCCGGCTTTTTTCTTTTTGCTTATGTGGTGCTGAGGAATTGAACCCAGGGCCTCTTGCATGCAAGGCAACCACTCTACCACTGAGCCACCTTCCCAGCCCATCTGATTCCTTTTTTAAATGTTGTGATACTGTGGTTTGAACTCGGGACTTTATGCTTGCTGGGCTCACGTCCTTTGCTTGAACCCCTCTCCCTGCTGGTTATTTTTGAGATTTTTTGGGGGGGAAAGGGGATGTTGCGGGGAGGGCTGGCCTGTAACACAATCCTCCTGTTTATGTTTCCTGCCATAACTCGCATGACAGACACACACCACCACACCCAGCCTCTTCCACTGAGATGGGATCTTGTGATTTTTATTTTTTTTTTCAAGTCTGGGCTAGCCTGGAGGTGTGATTCTCCGGATCTTCACCTCTAGAGTAAATGGGATTACAGGTAGGAGCCAGAGCTCCTAGCTCTAAATTGATGCATTTATCTGCAGTAGGGTGGTGGAGAGCTGTGGTGGGTGTCCAAAAGGAAGCCGTCTTTACACTGAAGGGCAATGATCTCGGTTTACAAATGACTATTTCCATAGATATAGATAGATAGTGTCTATCTATCTATCTATCCAACTATCTATCTGTCTGGCTGTGTGGTTGTCTATCTATCTACCTATCTATCTATTCTGCTCAAAGAAGCATTTTAGAAATATTTGCCAAGTGCAGGAAGTTCAGAACTAGGGTTGATGTTAATAAACCTGAGTACGTACTTTCCCCACTCTCCACTCTCCGAACGCTCCTCCTCCATCCCTTTCATTTTATCTTGGTATTGAGACTTCCCAGGCCATTGACCCCAATTTATCATCCTCATTTTTATGACTTTGATCCCTTAATGCTGGTTAAAGTATAATAAGTATCTTCTTTAGGGCCAGGCTAAACTCAGAGTCCAAAAGTAGAATAGAGTCAGCTTCTCTCCCCCCCCCCCTCTCCCCCCCCATCCCCGCCGGGCTCTATGACATTGCTAAAGTTTAATCATTCTCAAACACAACACTCTTGACTTAGCCAGGGATGAAGATGATTCACTTAATGCTGTGCTCAATATCTGGTGAGGTTGGGTGCTGTGTTAAGTGATCAGCACTTCATGGGTCCCATGGGTCCACAAACAAGGAAGTACTCTCGGAATGTTTCTGTGGGGTGTACAGCAGGCCCCAGGGCTTGGGAAAATGTTCTAGGCAATTCGGTTGTGGCATTTGAGTTTGTCAAAGTTTTTTATGTTTTTTTATACTCATGCTATAAAAGGCTTAACAGTAATTCCAGCATAGAAATTCACTTTTAGTAAGGCTTAAGCAATCATTGTTTCACTAATTTTTGTTGTTGGTGGTCATGGGCTTGAACTCTGGGCCTAGACACTGTCCCTGAGCTATTGTTTATACCAATAGATAGGCCCCACTGCTGAATTGTTACATATCACAGTATAATTTAAGTACAAGGGGTTCCCCAGCACGAACCTCCCCCCCCAAGCAGAGGCCTGTACTATCTATACACAAGGCACAAGCAGTATGAATGAGCACCATCATCATTACAAAGACATTTTGTCTGTAATTTCAATTTCATGTCAATTTCATGTCCGTTATCCCTCAAATGTCTTTCAGCTTTTTTTTTTTTTGCAGTCCTGAGGTTTGAACTCAGGGCCTGGGCACTGTCCCTGAGCTTCTTTGCTCCAGGCTAGCACTCTACCACTTGAGCCACAGCGCCACTTCTGATTTTTTCTGTTTATGTGGGTACTGAGGAATTGAACCCATGTGCATGCTAGGCAAGCACTCTACCACTAAGCCACCTTCCCAGCCTAATTTTTACTTCCTAAGTTCTTTCTTTTAAAGGACACCTAGCCTTGTGGGTCCCCAAGATGTCTCCTAATGGGGGAATCTATTATCACTTGGTATTTGTGTAATTTCTGATAAAAACTGGGGAATGGGAGAATGGTGTGGGGGGGGAGTGGGTGTGTCATTGTAGCCCTGGTTTTCAAAGTCACTGGGCAAACGAGAGAGATACTTCTGCTGAGATCATACAAGGCAGAAACAGCTCAGTCAGAATTTACTTGCCGGGCTGGGATGTAGCTCAGTGGCAAAGCGCTTGCCTAGCAAGCGCAACATCCTGGGTTCGATCCCCAGTACCAAAAAAGAAGACAAAAAAAAAAAAGAATTTACTTGCCACCCTCTCATCCAGGAAAGATTGGTGAACAGGGGCCCCCTTGTGGATTTCTAGTGCATCTACAGGGAAGATACTGCAGTTTAGTACAGTCTGACTAGAGAACTGCTTTTCCAAAGGCTGCAGCTATAACCTTGGGTTCTGTCCCTGCTCCTGGCACTGGGCAGATGTGTGGCAGATCTTCCCCTGGTCGCCTGTGGCATTGTTACCCATGCTAGACGCAGTCCTTGTGACCTCAGGCCTGGGACACTTTACCAATCAGAGATCTAACCATCTTCCTCCTGCTCCTGCTTCGCCTTCTCCAGAGCTCTGGCTGTTTTCCCAAGACCCCTAACTTTTGCTCTGCCTTTTTTTTTTTTTGTATCAGTTCTGGGGTTTGAACTCAGGGTCTAGAGACTGTCCCTTTCCTTTTTCACCCAACTTCAGCCACAACTCCAGTTCCAGCTCTCTGCTGGTTCATTGGAGGTAAGAGTTTCACAGATTTTCCAGCCTGGACTGGCTTCAAACCACCATCCTTAGATCTCAGCCTCCCGAGTTGCTAGGATTACAGGTGTGAATCACCAGTGCCTTACAAGGAAGAGGTTTAGGTTTCTTTCTTTCTTTCCTTTTTTCTTTCTTTCTTTCTTGTCAGTTGTGGGGTTTGAACTCTGGGCCTGGGCACTGTCCCTGAACTCTTCAGCTCAAGGCAAGCACTCTACCACTTGAGCTCCAATGCTACTTTCTATTTTCTGCTGGTTAATTGGAGATAAGAGTCTCATGGACTTTCCTGCCTGGGCTGGCTTTGAACCGCAATCCTCAGATCTCTGAGTAGCTAGGATTACAGGCATGAGCCACCAGCACCCAGCTCTTATATAGTTTCATCTTTAATATTCTAGAGAAACTCCAGCCATTACAATAGCATCATGCTTAGCTTTTTTGTGGTACTAGGATTTGAATTCAGGGCCTGATGTTTGCTCTATTTGCTTGCTCATGGCTGGCACTCTACCACTTGAACCATGTCCCCAGCCCATTTTTTACTGGTTAATTAGAGATGGAGTCTCATAGGATTTTATGCCTGAGCTGACTTTGAACCTGGATCCTTCGGATCTCAGCCTCCTAAAAAGCTAGGTTTACAAGTGTGAGCCATCTGAACTTGGCTATATTTAGCTTTTTAAAAGAAATTTGGTGCAAATAGAAAGACC